TTTATAGCATCCCACACCTTGAAATTTCCAGATACTGTGTAACTTGAGTTACTGCCTCAAGCAGTGATCCAGGCGCTGCGCCTGTCAGTCATGGTGAAGAGGGAGCTGAACCAGAAGGCGAAGCTTTCGATTTACTGGTCTATCTATGTCCCAACCCTCACCTATGGTCATGAGCTCTGGATAGTGACCGAAAGAATGAGATCCAAGGTACAAGCGGCCGAAATTAGTTTTCTCCGTGGGGTGGCTGGGCTCAGCCTTACGCTGGAATTTCAGTGGATGCGTGTCCGTTGCGGAACGGCTGCGATGGACCATATTATACAGGTCATATATGATTTTATGGTTTTGCACCTCCATGACACGCCCATGGTGTCAACGGGATGAAATGACGTCTGAAAAACTCTGACCTGTTGACTTCAGGCCTGCCTCCGCCCATTATGACGTTTTCAAGGTGTAGTGCAGGGAAATATGATCCGCTAGTCAGACATTTTCTCTATTGTCTTCATCTAAATGACCATTTTCTTTCCAGCCTCAGATGTTTGTATTCTTGTTTCGTGCATGTTAGAAATATCATTAACATGCTCACTTGGTCATTGTGAATTCATTCGGACATAACACGGACTTTGTCCTAGAGAACTGGCAGGGTAAATTCTGTTTAGAGTCTGGTCTGATTTGGACATTTGCGTTCTTACATACAGCTCCTCTGGATAATGTCTTGATAAGTTCAGGGTTGCAGTGCTTGATAGTGTTCTCAGTACCAGTCAGGTTAGTTTGTGTGACTGGACGGTGGGTGTAAGATTTAACATGAATAAAGCAGCTACTGAAACACAAAGTATTTTATCATGGAAAACTAAAGCACTTATCAGCCCAAACCTACAATTCATCTGCTGCTCCAAACTCAGAACAGAATAATCTCACAGTGGAGGATTTAATGGACTTGGAGGCTTTTATTAACCACTATTATTACAGCTGAGACAACATGGATTCCATATCCATCAAAAGTACACCAGAATCATCCAAAAAATAGAGAAGATAGAAGCAGGACTCTTCCATGGGCACAGCTTCAAACTACAGAAATCACGATCAGCTTCCCAGCTAGTATCAATAACAAATAGGAGCTTCACAAAGAATTAAGAGACCGTTGTTCTAGACTCGAATTCAAACACAGCCACATCACATCTGTCAAGTGATTTAACAAATTATAAACATACTAAGCAGAAATATTTGAGACATACTCATCCTCTCTGGTATCAACAAAAATTCACAACACAACTATGTTCAGAATCTATTAAAAGACCTCATGAATACACACCTCAAACTCCCCCACATTCCCAACAAAGAGAACTACTTGAAAGTAGAGGAACAGACAGTGTATAGAATAGCATCTCTTTGTTAGGCTCTCCCTGCCAACATCTTTAAAACTCAATGCCCAGTTTTTTTAAACGCAGACTTTCTGTTAAAAAATGCCCAGTTATCAGCACAAACAGAAGAAGCCTCATGATATCATAAGCTGTAACATAAATGTTTTCTTATGCTGACTAGTTAGCGTCATGACTAGAAGGCTGATCTGCTAAAAACATTTGCAGGTTGTCCGTTTAATGGATGTAAAGCAGCAAAACAGATATAATTATAACAGATCATTTACTTAAGATGCTGACCACCATAGGAGCTCTTCTTTTATTCTTCACCATATATTCTTATATATTTCAAATATTCTTCACCATCCATATAGTGACAATTTTGTTACAGACACTCTTCATGCATGGATCTATCTTAAAAAGGAGCTATATGTAAGAAATCTAAAGCAAATAGTCATAAAATCATCCTAACATGTCACAGAGACTAAGGAATAATGTTCATATAACATACTGATCTCACCGACAACAATAGTACAGCCAGAATATGAATATGAATTTGTGTTTTGGCCTGTTGCGCCACCCACCGCCGTCTACCAGTCACACAGTCAGTAGAGTCTCAGCATCAGTTACAGTTATGACTGAGCTACAGCAGCACGGCAAGCAGCATTAGCAGTGTCCGGTACATAGCATTAGCAGCCGGCTCCTCCTCAGCTGTATCCCGGCAGCAGCGTTAGCAGCGTCCCGGTATACAGCATTAGCAGCCAGCTCCTCATGAGCTGTATCCCGGCAGCAGCGTTAGCAGTGCCCCGGTACATAGCATTAGCAGCCAGCTCCTCATGAGCTGTATCCCGGCAGCAGCGTTAGCAGTGTCCCGGTACATAGCATTAGCAGCCAGCTCCTCATGAGCTGTATCCCGGCAGCAGCGTTAGCAGCAGAGAAGCCAGACTTGCTTGAACGGTCCGCTGGAAAACCGAAGATCAAGGACGCGGCAACGTGGCCCTGCCACGGCAGCCGCCCGTGGGCAAACAAATCAGTCTCCAGCGTGCTGCTGTCCACCAACCTCGAATCTGTAGGGGAGGGGGGGCGGACACGACTAGCGGCAGTATTTTGAATTTGAGTGCAGTAACCGTTTTGGCCACATTCTTACAGCAAACACTCTGTCCCCTTTAATTTTCTGCCAAACCTTTAGAACAGACAAAAGACCTCTGCCCAAGGACCTCAAAGTACGTCCTAGTGTGACCGGTAAGAGGTTAGAGATATAGCTGGGAGAGAGACCGTGAAGAGTCTTAAAAGTAATCAATAAAATCTTAAAATCTATTCTGAAACATACTGGGAGCCAGGGTAAAGAGGCTGAAACTGGAGTGATGTGATCACGTCTAATGGTTCTGGTTAAAAGAACCAAAAGACACATAATGGCAGTAATCCTTTCACATATAATTTTAACTCTTACACATATGGGGTCAGTAATCATTTTGAGTTGGCAGCATTGTTTCAACTAGTGGGTATCATATTCTAACATTTTGCCATTCTTTTGTCTTCCTGTCTAGACGTTAACACGGATGGTTATGCTCCCATTTTGAATGTGATCACTTGAATGAATGGGCATCATCAGCCTCATAGATATGGGTTAGAAGGGGCTGCTACAGCTACTAGTAGGTTCAGTAGGCTGTTATCAGCCCATTAAATGACCAGGCGCAGGTTTCACTTCAGTTTTATTTTATTACTACAGGACTCCCTAAAAACATGGTATTTCACCCAGATGGGCATGGATTTGCAGGATGCAGCAGTACCAACGCATTCTCACTCCGACCTTGTCACATATCGATGTTTGGTCATGGACTTTCCACATCCACATACGACATGCAAGGTACCCTGGGTGTGTTGGTTGCTGAAGTTCTGGGTGTCATTACAACACCGCAAATTTATGTTTTCTCTCACCTCAACAACTCATGCACATGGTTAGGTTTAGGAAAAAAGAACAGGGTTTGGCTTTAGAATCTTAGGGGACCGAGATGAAACGCTAGAAGCGCAATGCCAGTAAAACAGTTGTTTTCCTATGATACGGCGCGTCTGACCGGCGTTCAAGCGTCTTTTTAGACGGGCGTTTTTCTGGCGTCTTTTTAGACACGCGTTTTTGTAGACACTTCTTTTTAGACACGTGATTTTAGACGTGCATAGATGCTGAAAAGTTAAAATATTTTTTGGAGCGTCAGACGCCAGCAGCACCAATCAAATCAAATCCTCCTTCCTGTTTTGTTGTGGCAGTTACAGCAGTTTGGTCAGTTACAGCAGTTTTACGGCACTTACGAGCAACAGACAACACAATGCAATCCGAAGACGAGAAATTTATCCTGACAATATTTGATTTTGAAGAATTATATAACACACGCACACCTCAGTACTAATTTCATGTAAGCTACTGTCTATACTGTCTTTGAGGGAAACACTAGATTCAAGGGGAGATGACAGGAGGTGTGTGTGTGTCGCCCGGTTGCGCACGCACCCCCGCTCCACAGGCGCTCCTTGCTGTTTTTTTTGTCTAGTGCGCATTGAATAAGCGTTTCCAGCGTTTCAAGCGTCTTTGAAGCGTCCATGTTTCTGCGTCTCATTTCTTTGTGATCGCCCCCTTACAGGACGTGAACGTCTTTCTCCTGGGTGAAAGTCATTCACCACCCCTCCCTTCCGCTCCACTCGGACTTTCGCCACCTTAACCTTTCATTTTTGTACCTCCCGGTTCACCCCAAGACGCCACCAAGTGTTGTTAAAATATAACGGCAACCAGCCGTGTGTCATGCCGACGTTAAAGGACATTTTTTTCATCTGTGTCTGACACTGCAAGTGACTACACAAGCGCCAGATTTCTACAACTTTGGAGTGAGAACAAGTTGGCAGTACTTGCTTCAGAGAGCTCCATGACCCAGATCCAAGTAGATTTTTGTTGTCAGACATAATTTAGTACATCTAAATGTCAACATATTTTAGCACATTTAATGTTTCCATGGTCAATTTGAGAATTTACCAGCAATCAGGTAAAAGTCACTTCTAAAATCTGCAGGGGAGTCTAATTACAGCTGCACCAGCAGAACAAGGAGCAAAAAATCCAAGTGTGTTATTGGAAATCAATGATAATGAGCTTATAACTGCCCTCTGAACCTGCCAGTAGGTGTAGCAGGCCCCTTCTAGCATTCAAAGCTGATATCTAGGAAATGCATCCTCCAGAATGCTACACTTTTCCCACCTTGTATAACACCAGAACATGTTCTTGTTAGGGTTATTTTTGGCATCAAAGCTTTTTAGATTTGGCAGCCACGTAAGAGAAATAAGGACTTCATACGTTTGATTCATTCCCATAAAATTGTAATTGCAAGGACAGCAGAGAGCGCTGCCCTTTAACATGTTGACACTATGTCCCAATCTCAGCTCTTTGTTCGGAGGTATTTATTTTATTTTGGCTCTTTTTCTGTCATTTTACTGGTGGAATTTGTTCTCCTGAGCTGCCAACCCTCATATAACTATGACTCAAGCATTGATGCAGCATAACAAATGTGTCTTTGCTGCGTGGAACATTTCCCACTTTCATATCCTGCTCTGCCATAAGACTTAAGCTTGTGTGTGTGTGTGTGTGTGTGTGTGCGTTCTCTGCAGAGATCCGCGAGGCCTTTAAAGTGTTTGACCGTGATGGGAATGGGTTCATCTCAAAGCAGGAGCTGGGGATGGCCATGCGCTCCCTGGGCTACATGCCAAACGAGGTGGAGCTGGAAGTCATCATTCAGAGACTGGACATGGACGGTGAGGCAAACACACAGCTCGGATTTTTATGATGTGGAGTCACAAAAGCACAGAGGCTTTGCTCTCTGTTTGCCCACAAAACCAGACTGTAGTAGGCGGTTAAACCAACGACAATAAACACCAACTGTTCCTCTTTTCTGCAGGCGATGGCCAGGTGGACTTTGAGGAGTTTGTCACTCTGCTGGGCCCAAAGCTGACGGCAGCTGGTTTGCCAGATAAGTTCAACGGCACCGACTTTGACTCCGTCTTTTGGAAGGTGCTCATTATTCAGTCACTCATTTCCTGCCTATTAGCGGGAAGATAGACAGCAGAGTCGCAGCTGTAGCAAACCTCCAAGCGCAGAAACATTTAGACTCAGTACGACTTTAAAGGAAAACCAGTTTTAATTGCCACATCCACTGGGCTGTTAATGGGATGATTTTAATCTTGGAGAGGTTTGGATTCCCTGAAGAACTGTGTCCCTCATCAAGACTTCTCCGCCTCTTTGTGTGTGGCGACAGTCTTATTACTTAGAACATTAAAGTCAGTTTTTATGTAAAATAGATATTAATTTATTTACAGACACCTCATTAGATAATCAGCTGCTCACTTTGACAGTGGGATGAAATTAATGGGATGGAGCTCGTGTCGAAGCTGCCTTTGTTGTGGTTACGTGATAACGGCACCAGAGTGGCTGTCAAGAAAAGCGAGGCTCCAAATCGAGTTGTGAAAGAGAGGGGATTTGTGGGAATTCTTGGTGCAGTCAGTGTACAAAAAAAGAATCACAACCAAAGACACCTGCTGGGAGAGTCAAGGAACCCGAGGGACTGCTGCAAAGGCTGCATAGCCTCACATAACATTATATAACAGAATAGTAGTATCAAGCATGTGCTGCTGGATTGATCACACAGAGCCTCCGGTCACACTGGTGAACGCGGCTCAAGCTGAGCAGAAAATGAGTAACATAGATGAGCTTTCCAAACAGGCACAGATCCTGGATTGGCACTTTTTGCAGGGATTTTGTTGTTAGTTTTGGGTCTTAAGTCAATCACAGATTCTTATTTTATTTAAGTCATATTTTACAAAATGCCAGTGGTGACATATAACTTAAGTAGAAGTATTAAAAAACTGAAGATGAGGGTCCTTAAATATTTCTTTTTTTTTTTTTGCTCCTTTATACAATGTACCTGGAAGTAAACTTTTTTTTCACATCGCTAACATCGGCAGTTACTTTGCAGAATACAGTTTAACATACAAAACACATACGATGGATTACACTGTAAAATACAATTCATTGCTAGTTAAAATTAGCTCCAACTGCAATTTAAATCAGTTAAATTGTGCAGTATAATAAAATGACACTGATAGGAGCTTTTACTTTTGATATTGTAATTGTACATTTTGTTTATAATACTTCTGCATTATTATTCAGATAAGAATTTGAATGCAGGACTCTTACTTATAATATATAAGCTTTCAGTGTTTCACACAGATTTCAAATCTATTTGATTTGAGGGAGATTTTGGGATCTCAAAAGACCAATTTAAAATTCCCGGCATAATAGTATACAATGTTGAACGTTTTGAATGATTTATGAAAGGTGCAACGCCGATGTGTTCATTCATAAGATCAACATTTTTTGTTAATAATCTTCCTAATAGACTTTATTGTGTAAGGAGCATGAGGTTTCTAGGTTTTTCCTATGTTTTTCCTGTTCCCTTATTCTTTCATTTGTGGCATATGGTGCACAGGTTGTTGTGCACCACATCTTGTCACCATGTCTTTCACACCTTGCACACATGTGAAATGGGTGAAGCAGTTTCTATTTAAGCTCAATGTTGTAAATAACGACAAAAGACAAAAGTTCCAGGAGGACAGAAATCGAGCAAGAGCGTGGTGCTGGATTTTCTGTTCAAAGACCCAAGTGATATTTTCCAATCAGAGCCATTTGGATGTGCGAATATCTGTCTTCAATTAAATCTATAGCTGTGCCTCAAATCAGGGACTGCAGCCTTTCTCGGCTGCATTTGTAAACCAATCGTGTCACATCAGCGCCACCAAGGCTGTCCCATTTCGAAGGCTCCTTCAGCCTTCCTTCCCAGATTTTGGAGCATGCAACGGATGAATCTTTAGTGGCCCAGCCTATCCCAAGATGCATTACACGCTGGTGACGATTTTAAATTAAGTTAACTAACAGTTGATAACCATTAACTAGCTACCAGTGAACTGTTGTTAACATTACTATAAGCTTAAAGCACACAGCTTAATCACTTAATAAGTTTACCTGAAACAGTCTGTCAGCCTAAAATACATCAAACAGCGGTGTCTCTGGCGATGAGTCACCTCCTCAAGTATTAAATAAAAACAAATCTCTTGGTCCATGATTTAGGGCTAACTACTAGCTTACTCCCTCTTCATCAAGCGCAGCTGGTAACAGATGATGCAACCAGGAAATCCTCTGCAGACCAGACCGTCCAATTTCGGAAACCGTTCGGTTTGGCTGCTACCATGATCAAAGAAGGTGGTTGATGTAGACCATGAAGGTTGGGGTCCATGTCATTGGTCCGACAGCCCATTGGTCCGACATCCCATTAGTCCGACGGTCCGCGGTGCTGAACGGTTCCCGGCGGGCGTATTTCTACCTTGATGGTGCGTCGCGACCGGCTCTGGGTCAGCTGGGAAAGGCTTGAGGTGAAGCAGGCTTACGTGTTTGTCACTTTCTTTTTCATTTTAACCCACACCATGATCTTTTCCTGACCCTAACCAAGTGGTTTTTGTGCCTAAACCTAACCAGACCTTAACCACAGGGTATCATGATGATTTCGGAATGGACTTTGGAACAATGGGTTTAATATGGTCGGAACAATGGGATGTCGAACCAATGGGCAGTTCCCGAAGGTTGCGTCCTTCAAAGGCTGTAGCCCCTGAATTGAGACACAGCTTATTTGCTGATGATCAGCAGCTCCTGTCATTCAACGCAGGGCTGATTGACCATCTCCATAGCCGTTCCCCTGCCATTTCTGCTCGGTTAGCACAAGCTAACACAGCAAAACATGATTTCATCCATGCTTGTCATATTTTGCAGCTTGGGTAGAAGCACAACTACAGCGGTTATCAAACACAGATCTCACACTGATACCAAAACAGCTCGACTTTGTCGTTAAACCTTTTAATAACTGTAAGGTAATGTTAGCTGTGTGATGTTAACTGTTAGCCCTGTTGCTGCTTGTATAACTCTTTACTACCAGTCACAGGGCTCACACTCCCTGTAGCAGTAGCTCTAAAATCTTAGCTGTTTTAAAAAGTCAAATTTGCAGTTAAGTCGCAGTTATTGGACAAAATTGCAAGGTACAGGTATTGGCTAAATTTGCGTTAATTGTTGTAATAACAACATCCTGGAGGGACTGTTTATACTGTGGTATCACTACTTTTACTTCAGTGAACAATCTATTTCCACTTCTGCATAATGCAATAGTATTATTTATTAAAACATAATATTCTAAGGTCCCTGATATGTGATCCAATATCAGCATTTTAAATATTTACATCACAAGTGAACAAACGAGGAGGAAATTAACCGTGGGGACGTTGAATTTTAAGTGAATGTCAACTCAGTCAAAAGTTTAACACAACTATTCATACTCAATTTCCATAATCTGATTAAATTTATACTGCATGAAATGTTTTCTGTACACGGCTGTTATTGTTCACCTTCCTTTTATGTGTTATGTGTGTCTGCTTAAATGCCTGTCTTTGTATTTAGTGTGTGTCTGTGGCATCGTGTCCACCAGCCTGCGTCCATGTTAATGTTTAGTTATGCGTGTCTATCTCCAGTGTGACATGCAGAAGTTAACGGTGGAAGAGCTGAAGAGGCTCCTCTACGACACCTTCTGCGACCACCTGTCCATGAAAGACATCGAGAACATCATCATGACTGAGGAGAACCACATAGAGAACCCTGAGGACTGCCAGGTGGATATAGACAGTAAGGAAGAACCTCCTATACCTTCACTGACTTCCAACGTTTATGTGCATCTGGTGATATAGTGCAGCAAAGGTCCAGGCTGGATTTAAACCGGGGGTCATTTTATGTGATCACTTCTGATTGTTAATTTTCCCAGGAACCACCTTCCCAAAAAACACAACATGACAAAAAAGGGATAAAAATAAACTGGGCTGTAAATATGTAATGCCACTGTGAGCTGTTAATGCTGTGAAGACTTACTGTTGTGCCTAAAGCTTGTCCCTTTTCCTCAGAAAATATTCTTTTGACGTGCCAACACATTCGGGGTGTGTTGTTTTTTGTGTCTCTGGAGCCTCGATGGTTTTAGCGCCTCATTTGACAGGATTTACCACACTCAACACACTGAGCTTTCGGCTCAGCATCACTCCCCGCTATCATGAATCCAAATTTAATATTTTCAGGATCATGTTTCCTCATTGCAAGCTTTGGAGCTTTTTACTGGTGCAGGGATGCGTCCTAGGCAGTGCTAGGTAGCTAGGAGTGGCAAAATACTTTTTTGCGTGGTGATATTAACACTTCTCTGGTCAATGAGATTGTAATTTGACTGTACTAATATTTGTAAAGTCTTAAAACACAGCTAGATATAAATGTAACTTAATTTCAATATTATTTAACCAGCAGTACCTATACAGTCCATTAGATGGCACTGTGAGGACCACTGGGTAAGAACCGCTGCTTTAAGATGCAAGCAGCATCTCTTCTTAAAGTTGCATCAGAGGTGATATACCTTGCTTCTAGAGGCCATCACAAGCCATGAGTGATGGGTGAAAATGAATGAATGGATATTTTTTGATGACTCATAACCAGAGATGGGACCAAGTCACACATGTGCAAGTCTCAAGTAAGTCTCAAGTCTTAACCTTCAAGTCTCAAGTAAGTCCCAAGTCATTTTTTCTTGGGCAAGTCAAGTCAAGTCAAGTCACGTCACGTCACGTCACAGGTTATATCAAGTCAAGTCAAGTCCTGTAATAGGTCAAGTCAAGTCCAAGTCAAGTCACCTTATTATTGTAATTTTACCTGCAGAATCTGATCTTAATAAAGTGAAAAGACAAGATATAAGTAACTGTCAGTAAACATTGACTTCATCGCTGCAATGTTTACTTTGCAGGGACGACCCCCATGCCCACACACACATACACACACACACACACACACACACACACACACACACACACACTAACCAAGGCAGCGGCCAAAACCACCCATTTAGCTCATTTAACCCTGTGCTGCTCGTTCATAAAACGTACAGCCGGTCTTGTGATGAACCGGTCGGAATGTTCGCTCACGTTTTCTGGGGTTAATGTTAGCAAATAAATTAAAAAACAAGTTCCACCAAACCAACCCACCCCCCCACCCCACCCCCGTATCGTATCAAGCTAACGTCAGGTAACTACTGACTAACCAGATAATATTAGCTAATTGACAAGCACTTACTGGGCAGAATGGCTTTTCAAATGACGAACAAAGTTTCAAGTTGTCGTCTGGCTGTCCGAGATGTTTATGCCGCATGTCTTGCACTGTGCTGTTCGTCTTTTGCCGTAATAATGGTAATTCCGAAAGCCGAAGACGATGACTCTCGGTACCCCTCCTGCTGACATGTTGATGCCTATCTGATATAAGAGGGCCTGTTTCTCCAATAAACACGTAAGGTACGTAGAGAGGGCATGACTGATTGACAGGGTAGTGATCCAATCATGGCAACGCCATTCTCAGCCTGCGCTCCTACCGGGTAATCAACATTATTTTTTAAATTAATTTATTAATTTTATATTCTAACCGAAAGCATGATGTGAATAACACTCAAGTCATTCAAGTCATCGTGTCTCAAGTCAAGTCAAGTCCTGAGTCTTTAACTTCCAAGTCCAAGTCAAGTCTCAAGTCTTTTATTTTTTGTCAAGTCACAAGTCATCAAAACAGCGACTCGAGTCGACTCGAGTCCAAGTCACAATGATTTGAGTCCCCATCTCTGCTCATAACTGTCCAGTATGTACTGGGTCAGCCAATCAAACGTCGAGTGCTCATGAATCCCAGCCTTTTCACACTCAGTGGGGCTGTTATGGTAGGGTACGATACGAGAGTGAAAAAGTACCGACTGAATCGGAGTTGAGACCTCTGCCACTGCAAGCCATTGGCGGCACATTTATATGCTTCTCAAGCCCAGTTCAGACCAAAGATTCGTGATGAGTCGAAATGTGCAACTACCTTGAATGTGCTGTTCTGCAACGCTGTAAAAACCTGCTAGTTCACACCAGTGCAACTAGATGAGATGGTGTATCATCTCTATGCAACAACTCTCTGTACTTCTGTTCTGATTTCCACATTTTCAGCCTTATTTTGTGGCTGACATTAATTTGTAGCTTCTCAAAACATGAATGAGGATAGTGGTAGTGAGATATTGGCTACAGGTGCATTTGTAGTCGTGACGAAACGGCAAAAAACAAACAAAACGAGCATCAGATGGACTGTATTCATAATAAATACACCACCATAATATTAAAGACCAGCGCCAATAAATCAGTCAGTGAGACTGTGTGTGTGTGTGTGGGATGGCATATGTGAGCAGCAGCAGCGACCTTGTGTGCAACACGTGAAGACAGAAAGAGAGGGCTCTGTGGGGACGTAGCACCTGCCGCAGCAAATGAACACTCCCTCTGTGGTCATTTTTATTTGACCAGTGGACTTCACAACAAGCTGTCTAGCGGCAGAAACAGGCGACATGCTTTATGTACTAAAACCAGTCATCGGCATTTTGACCAGCTGAGTTGCAGGTGACACCATCAGCTGGAGCTCAGATAGCCAGTTAACGCTGCTGCAACTTTTATCTGCAACGTTCTTAGTAGTTTAGTCTCTTCACAAATCTTTTTGCACATAATCTAGGGACTAATATCTAAAGTTCCCTCTTGGCAAAAGTTGGAAAACTTACTAAAACTGAGCTTCTATAAGGCAATGAATATTGTGGAGGGCGTGGCTCATCACATAAAGGTGTATAACATCTCAAGGGTTTAATCCATCGCCACGCAACTTTGTAGGCATATGACCACACATAATCTGAGGGGACCCCTCCATTATTGACCCCATCAAACAAAATGGGGGCGCTAGAGAGCTCATTTCTTATCAGGCCTAACCACCATATGGATTTTTACTAAACTTGGTAGATATGTAGAACAGGACGCCTCAAGGTGACTGGAGAAATTTAATTCTAATTGGCAACTGGGTGGCGCTATACCAACAGAAAAATGCTTACAAATGGCTAAAATGCGACAGATCGCTGTGGCTGCAATCATACTATCAAATTCACAAAAACTCTGTCTGAATACATTGCTCTTCTTAATGGGTTCAGTTGACTATTTAATCTGCAATTTCCTATGACCTGTATCCCAAACACACACCATGTGAAACTGGTGACATCTGAAGCCCATTTATCAGGTTCCGTGTTTGGCTTTCAAATGGTGATGACTTACTGGTAAATGAATGAAAACACATTGAAATCCTTATAAATAGATAGTGTAGAGCCTCAGGTTTCTAAAGATATATGAAATGTCTATGTTTCATGTAGGTTGGTGGAGTGTTACATTCATTTATAATCACATTTAATATTTTTATTCAAATAATTGCATGGGTAGGCTTAGAATGTTCTATAAGGGTGGTTCTATTAGGCGTTCTATGGGGTAAAAAGAATAAATTGTTGGTCAGTGACATTTCTGTTACATCCTATTGAGCTTACATAGCTTACCTACATACAGTTGATACGCATTATAATTGGTAATGCACTGAAGAGAAGATTTTTGCGGCAGGCAGCAAATAGTCAAACATGCATGTAGTAATTTGGAGTGTCATGGAGAAACTGACACTATATTTTGCACAACTTGAGGTTTGATACATTTACATGTATTAACTCGAAGGAATGGATGGTTTGAATAGAATCAGTCCACCCATAACTACAAGCCACTTTACACTCACCAGCCACTTCATTAGGTACACCTTGCTAGTACCAGGTTGGACCCCCTTTTGCCTTCAGAGGTGCCTTAAGCCTTCATGTCATAGATTCAAAAAGGTGCTGGGAACATTGCTCAGAGATTTTGGTCCATATTGACAGGATAGCATCACACAGTTGCTGCAGACTTGTTGGCGGCTCCCGTTCCACCTCATCCATCTTGGTTGTAACGAGTTCCTGTTGCTTTCTATCATCTTGAACCAGTCTGGCCATTCTCCTCTGACATCAACAAGGCATTTTGGCTCACTGGATATTTTCTCTTTTTGGGACCATCCTCTGTAAACCCTAGAGATGGTTGTGTGTTAAAATCCCAGTAGATCAGCAGTTTCTAAAATACTCAGACCAGCCCGTCTGGCACCAACAACCATGCCACGTTCAAAGTCACTTAAATCACCTTTCTTCCCCCATTCTGATGCTCAGTTCGAACTCAGTTTCGTCCTTACGATGTCTACATGCCTAAATGCACTGAGTTGCTGCCTCGTGATTGGCTGATTAGCTATTTGCGTTAACAGGCATTTGAGCAGGTGTACCTAATAAAGTGGCAGATGTGTATATCATAATATATTATTTATGCAAGTGATGAAACCTGATCAACATGCCCCAGTTGCACTGTAAAGAGTGGAGCAGATCTAATCATAGTAATCATAGTAACAGACATCATTTGTATTCTTAAACCACACTCTGGTGACAATACATTAACACATCACAGAATTCACCCTTAAAATTCTTCACAATCACACCGTCTTTCTAGTGTCACCATTCTGCACCAAATTCTGGCGATCACACAGGGACAACTGTGTTGTTGAAACAGCAGTGATGCCAATTTCTCCCATCAGCAGGCTCGACAGATCATAATGTACTCCAGCCACTCATCAGCGGCGTATGAAATACTGTGCCCTCTTAGGCAGCTGTTTTGTAATTTGAGCTACTGTGCACGGCAAATGGCATTGCTCCCTCTCCTCTCCTCAGCCGGAAAAATGACTACACTGTTTCTAAAGCTCCATCCGCCCACACGGCCTCTGCGTGGAGAACCTCTCATTTTAAAGTCATTGTCAGGAATGCAGGAAATCCCAAACTGAAGTGGAGGCAGGTTTACAGAAAATGTCCACAGTGAATAAAAGGAAATTACACCTTCTCATTACAAAATGACTGGAATTAACTGAAGAAGGCAAATTGCTGAGTCAAAGGGTGGAATTGTCCTTTAATGGTTAATTTACACAGGATGATTTGCTTTTTCTGTGGCTGTTTACCTAATGTGTAGGTTTAATGGTTGTTGGAGCTATTACAAACCCATTCTCTGATTTACAAAGAGGGAAATCTTCTCTTTTCTGCTGCGAAAACACTTTTTAAAAGACGTGAGTTGTTTTTCCTCTGAGAGCGGTGATGACCTCCGCAGGAAATAAAGATAAATCAAAAGCAAGATCAGTTTAAAAGCAGTTTAAAACATCCTCTGTTTGGACAAAAATACAAGGTAAATGCAGCTAAAAATGTTCCAACAGATATGAAAGTTCCTATTTGAACATTTTGTTTTGCCTCAGCTGCCTTGGTTCTCACTTCAGACGGCTCTGCAGGTAGACTACACCTTCTCTTGGAGCACTGGTGGTGTGAGCATCCTTTAATATGCCAGTCAGGTGCCATTTGTTTGTTGTTCCAAAACAGCAATCAACATTTCAATCTAGATGCAGTTACGCGGCGTACAGGTGTGAAAACAAATTTTCTTGGCGGTGTTCATCCCTTATAATTGTGTTCATGTAATTGTAAGGTTTTGTGATGAGCTCTTTCATTCGGAAATTACTATCCAGATATCTTTGAAGCATTAAATAACGCATGATTCAATAGACCTTCAGGTAATGTGCTCCCTTGTTTTCTCCCTCCCCGCTTCTTTCTCTTTCCCTCCTCCCAGGTTCCAGCCCGACGCAGCAAGTCAAGCAAACTTGTGTGCGCAAGAGCCTGATATGCGCCTTCGCCATCGCTTTCATCATCAGCGTCATGCTCATCGCAGCCAATCAGGTGCTGCGGAGCGGCATGAAATAGGAGCAGCGGCACTCTCAGCCTTGACCACCACCTAAAGGCTGCCTTACAGATAAATGACTGGAGACAAAGCTCAAAAAACAAACAAAAAACAAACACAACAGACAATCACGCAGCTGTAAAACAGGCAGACACGTGACTGCAGAGTAACTGGAGTCACCAAGGACACGACATGTGCAGAATTTGTCTCGCTGTACGAGACATTTCAAGGACAACAGGACCTCACATACAAAGAGACAGCGCTGTGTTTTAAAAGTGGACAGCTGACTATACATATCACTCTTCCTAACACAACATTTAGTATTCATTAGCTATGTGCATTTGAGCAGTGTTGCATTCAGTATGGTGGCAGCTATAAAGAGAAGTGTAGTGACCGTCCAGTTTTGTATTTGTCCAGTGTACCATGCGGTTTATTATAAACGAGTAGAAAGAAATGTGTGAAATATTGTGGGGACATTGGAGAAGATATATTCCTGAGGGCTGGAGGGTGTTGTTATGTACAAGGTCTGGAGTGCACAGTGTTGTGGAGATATTGTATGCGGTGCAACAGTGTTCAGAAACCACTTGGGAATAACGATAGCTTGGTAAGAAACAAAATAATAGGGTTGGCAGGGAGGTGCATGCGATTGTGTGGATGGTTTCACTTGTTCACAGGCTGCAGGGCTTCAGTCTGAGCAGGATGGAGCAAGGTGAAGCAGGTTAACAGCTCGCGGGGGGAAGGTGTTGAGGTCTGAACGGACGGGTAACTGGCTGGAAAGTGGCTGGACATGCAGTAAACACTCGACTCTCTGTCTCTGCTGCGGGGCTGCCCAGGCCTCGGAGGGTGACCATCATCTATGCATGAAATGCATGGATTTAAACAGTCGTCTTGACACATTTGTAGAAGTTTTTATCAATGTATTAATCATTATGACTGTGTAACAGCTGTTTTCGATTACTTAATGACAACTGTGAGCAACTGTGTGGTGCAGGGTATCAGCATTCACAACAAAGGTAACGCATACAACTGCATGATTAAAGAAGGGCTGCTTTAGTACATGCTTGTAAAAATTACTTTTGGGATTGCTAAGCTGTGGACCTTTTGCCTCGCCGGACGCCTGATGACCATCGCCCACTGTCACTGAAGAGCAAACGACATCAAGATGTGTGTCACTCAACCATTTATAGAATATGCATCAGAACTGATCTGATTGGTAGTGCGGATACAAATGTGCAGGAGTGTAATTTGTCCTTTTATTTTAGTTGTTTTCCGTCTGGATGCGTTGCTATAGAGCAATAAATGTATGTAAAATAGACATCTCACAATGCATTGGACAGACATGAACCTTCAAAAGCGTTAGTACCAATGGACCTGTTAACTTTTGAGGTCAGAAAAGTTTCTATAACACTTTTCGAATCAAGGTTTTGGCAATACAAGAGACATTGGCTCGGAGGAGACGACCCTCTTATTCAGTGAGATGCAGACAGATGAGCGCGAACACGTGCGTCAGAAGCTGCTCGGTGCATTGAAGTCTGAGAGGGCCCAAATGGTGTAAACTGTTGCAATAAAACAAATATCTGTGAAGCACCACATGAATTTGATTGGGTGTAGTTGTTTAGATTGTTGTGCATGCATCTGGGTTAGGTCTGTCATTATCAATGTGTATTGTACATATAAACCAACTTCAACCAAAGCTTTGGAGGGATCTGTGACAGCAGAACTGGGCCACAGAACGAGAGCAAGCTCAGTAAACAGCTGATGAAATTAACATTTGAATTACTCAGAAAAAAATCCCGCAGAAGTCCCACAGTCACTTTTTCTCGCTCGGGTGAATTCACAAATAGATTGTGGCTGCTGGTATTGCACATCACTTGCAAGCTTTATCTCCCCTGTCTTGACGTCCATTTCAGAATGATACTCAGCTAATGATACAGCTCAGTCACCAGAAGAAAATGGTCACGTGTTTCTGCAAACCACAAATACATTTGCACATTTTGTATCTCTAGAGTGATGTAATATGTAAGCTGACTTTGTCATCATGAGGTGGAGGGGATGGTGGATGGAGTGTCACCTTGGCAAGACACCTGCCAAGCCACTGTTTGAAACCAACAGGGCCAACCCTTCGTGACATTTTGACTGGTGTTTCTGGCATTGAACCTGGGTGTTTTTCACCAACGTGTCCGTGCTTTTCAGCGTCCTTTATGACACCAAGTGTGTGTGTTTAAAGTCAAAACTTTACCTTTTCCTAACCATATCTAAGTGGGTTTATGCCTGATGTTAAGGCAGTTTTTTGGGGGCCCAAACGCAGACATGGACATCACAGGTAGTTGCACAAAGTAGGGGGATTTATTGGGAAAAAAAAATGGGGGCACAGGACAAGGCAGGTGAGCTGGGTAGACGAGTGGAGGACTGAGCAGCAGCTGTGTTTGTAGATTGGTTGTGGAGATGTTGTCATCGGAATTCAGAGGCACGGGAGAAGAGAGGTTAGATTGAGAGTGTTTTCACACTTGGTCCTTTTCAGCCCTCTAAACAGACAGGTTGGTCTGTGTTATGCCCCACCCTTAGGTGGCCCTATGGGGGCAAAAAAACTGACCCAAAATAACCACATACACACCTTTAAATACTTAAAATCCATGGGATATATTACAAATAAAACAAGCAAACAAGACAACAAAAAGACCAGCAGTCCCCACACCAGAGGCCTCTCTGCTCTGCTACTGCCACAGGAGCTCTTAAGCACCTCCTCCATGCCAGGTGTGCTGCACCTTGTTAAGTAATGCAGCACACCTGGGCAGCTCTACAATGGAGGGAAAATGGACAGCAGCACAGAACACACACAGCTGTAACAGAGTTTGGTTCCCTTCAAGTCCGTGGTGCAGTTCACTTCACCTTGAACATAAAGTGCTCCAGGTTCACTTTGCTCTCTGTCATTGTATTTAGCCCTCTAGATCACATGCTGTTGCACTGGGACGCTTGAAAAACACAGACGAAACCATGTCGGCCTGTAACGCTTGCTCGCAGGACGACGAGTTGTTTGGTCCACAGAAGATACTGCACGTCTCCAGATGTGCAATGTAGAATACATTAAATGGCAACAGTCTACAGCACACAAACAGTTTTCCTACAATTTTGGGTTGATCTGAGAGTGCGGGGCTTCATAACGGCACTGTGTCAGAGTAAAAACAAAACTATATCAATATATATATAGGCTACAGTGTGAACAGAAAGAGGACTGAGGCCCCATCAGAGCTGAAGTTGACCAGAAAGAGAACTGAGTCCTCTTTCAAATGAACTGACAATGTGAACACAAAAAGAACTGAGGCCCTTTTCTGTTGGTCCACTTTTTGGTGCACTTTAAGAGGACTGAGTTCAGTTTGTTTTAAGAGGACTACATGTGAAAACACTGGAATCTCTCGATAATACACAGTATACTGAGCGGCAGGAAGTGAAGAGCTGGCTCCTTAGAGGCCGTTTACACGTACACGGTGATTTTGATAAACGGAGACATCTTCCTTCGTTTGTGCCCTTCGTTTACACGCAAACGGAGATTTCTCCTCTGAAAACGAGTCTTTCTAAAAACTCCGGCCAGAGTGGAGATTTTGGAAAACTCCGGTTGCGCGTTTGCATGTAAACTGAGATAAACGGAGATAAACGGAGTTATAGGCAGCCGACGTCACAACTTGCGCCGGAAGTTGCGCCTGTGTCAAAAGTGCGACCTATGTTGCTATGGTGACAACGGATACATGGAAAGCTTGAGCCTCTCGTTACACTGCCACCTACAGGTTTGGCATGCTCTTGTGTATATACACGGGTAAGTGTAAACGAAGATCTTTTTGAAAACGGAGACGGTGAAATGTCCGTTTATGAAAATAGCCGGCAACGTGTAAACGGCCTCTTAAGCTGAGAGTAGACGAGGCAGTTGAACGCAGCTGTTGAGGTACGCCAGGTGCCTGATGACAATGCTACGCCCACAACACACACACAGGGGAAACAGGGAGAGCACAGGAACACAACAGGGGGTCGCAGCCTAAGCCGTGACACCTAAACCTAACCACACCTTCACCACAGTGTTGTTGAGAAACAAAGTTTTCATGTATCTGTTAGAAAATTATGTACGAATGTAATGTATCCTTGGTTTGCAGAAATGTATAATATGAACATGTGTCTGGTGACTGGGTTGAATGATAATACAGCATAAATGCAGCCACAAAGTTTGGCAGCCGAGTGCAAGTTGCCCTCTTTTTTTGTTGCATCTGATCGCGAATTATTCATGTGGCAAAGTATAAACATTGCCTTTGTGCCAAGAACACAGGAGGCAGGACACTGGCAGCGAGAGAAAAGACAAAAATTGAAATTTTTGGAGCACAAGTCACAGGTCCTGACTGAAGAGGGACGTCTCAAAACTTCAGGCAAGGAATTTAAACGTGACAGAGAGAAACCATATTTGGGCTCCCAATGTGATAATTCTGTCGGTGTTTTTAAACGCACACCTTCAGATGGAATAAAAAGATGGCATGAGGACAAAAAAACCTGTTGAGTGCCTCACAAGCTTGTCAAATGAATGGACACCCCTTATAAATGTACTTCAGTTACCACCAACTCTTGAAAGACACTAGTAATCTCACTGTAACTGCGTGTGGCTGACTCGTGCTGATCTTTGGGAATTGGACTGTTTTTGCAGTGAGACTCATTTGCAAAGAAAGGGGATGATGTCATGCCAAATACATGCAAATAGCACAGGAGCACGGAGACATTCGGGGTGCAATTCACTCTTTGCGAGTGCTTTGAAAATCACAGTTTCTTTCTGTCTTATTTGTGAAGGTTTAGTGGCCCCAAAAGCTGCCCAATCCTTCTGTGAATTCGCCTCAATATTTTCTGATCAGTAGACCTTCATCAGGAAAGATGAATCTTACCTGAAACCATTCTTTAAAACCAAATTTGGATTTTTGACAGAGGAAATACGTGTTTTGTGAGTCAAAAGAAAACTTCAAATGCCCTCAAAAACACATGCTGCAATATAGAGATCTAAATAATTCACATCTTAAGAATATCCCTTTTTAGGATTTCTATTGGCAGCTTCCCAAACTTGGATCTCACACAGGAGCCAGAACCTCACAGATGCAACACAATTAGACTACCCTATCACCCAGAGCCAGGAGGGATAACGATTATCTGATGCACATGGGCAATTTGTCAAAAGTGTCAACTCTGTGGGGAACACACACACACACACACACACACACACACACACACACACACAGAAAAAAAAATACGGGAGAAAAAAAGCCCATTTATTAAAAGATACCTTGGTTTCCATTTTTGCACTTTAAGATGTGCTGCAGCGCACAACAACAACTCACCGCCATGATTGTTCATCCGATCCCAGATATAGTTTAGGCATAAAGAATTACTTTACCATAGATGTATCTATTTTTGTGATAAGAATATGATGGAATAGAGTATTAACTGACTGAAAAATTATATTGTCTCATTAGTTTTCTATTATATCATTACTGAGGGAACATTTTCATGGGGAATAAAGATATAATAATAAGTTGATTTGTTGCCTTATTCTTTGAGACACTTAGGCATTGTGCATATGCATACAAAAACACCAATCATGGGTTTATTATTTATCACCAGAGGAAAATGTACAAACCAATATTTATTTTATTTTTACCAATGGAAAAAAACAACCTGTATGAACATGTTGATAGTCTACTGAATGTTCTATTTCCATTGTAATGTACTTTGATACTTGTCTTTGGATCTTGCAAAAATGTTTATTGACCATGTGATATCTGTCCATTGACTCCACCCGATGTTCTTCTATGTCTGTGGAATGGTATTTCACATGAATAAAATAACGATCATGTCCCGCATCCGTGAAATTATTTTCCACCTGTCAAATCCTCAGTCAACGAGCTTGAGATGACTGTATGAAATGCTGAGGATTGGTTTGGGTGTATCGATTGACATCCTGACATCTCAGATTGAAATCCACGGACAGTGATGGATTTTTCAAGGTTAGCTGAATCCATTGATTGCTTTATGCCATTCTGAGATACCCTTTGGCTTAGCAGAGCGTTTTGGGCCCCGTCTGTCACATTTATCCCAACAAAATCTCCTCTTATATCTCTTATGTCCACTAGTGATGGTGAGGATGTTCTGTTGTGGCAGTCTTAAAGAGACTGAGAGAGACTTTTTGCACTGATCGTTCACTACAAAAAAAATACTGCTTTATATGTATCGCATGAGGTGTATTGAGTCAGTGATTCCCAGCTTCTGCAGTATTGTACCTCCGCAGTTACTGAGAATAAGTGGAAAAGTCATGGAGCAGATCAACTAATTAAAAAAAAATCATGATTTTATTATAGGAATATACCCCTCTTCCTAACTTGCAAATATACTCTTGGGCTTCCCAATTGAAGCCACTCACTGTATGGATCAATAATGATGTAGACAGTCGGTGGTTGAACATGGAGAATTCAACTCGCCAGCAAGAAATGACTTTCTTAGGGTTTTTTCAGAGAGATTGCAAAATGAATAAATGGACTAAATTCACATTACAAATTTGGAAAGAAGACTTATGATTTACCTCACCATATTTCGGCCCTTACTCCCATTGGATCCATGAGGGACTTCCCCTCCCCTCTTACATGGACACAGGCTCAAGGAACTGGTCAAGATTTGGGTTGATTTCTGTACATCAGCTTTTTGGTCAATTAGGTCAAACTATTAAGTCTTTTGAACAAATAAAAAAATGTAATCTTCTTCTGCAGACAGATTTCTATAGACATCTACAAGTTAGACACAAAAAAGATGACCTTACTGAGATCCAAGCTACCAAGGCAATCGAAATGTTGTTGACGAATCTACAAATGAATAACTCAATGGGAAAAATTATCTCCAGTATGTAAAGTGCATTTTTGACTACGGATAAGACTGACTCCCACTATATTAAATCCAAATGGGAAAATGAGCTACAATTACCAGAACCAATTCCCACTGACACCTGCAGTAAGATCTGTTCAGGGTCTCACATGGTCACCAGATCAAACACTTAGAGAGAATTCAGATGGAAACTTAAGCCGTTTTCAGACCTGAAAGTCCGGACCAAGGTTCATGTTTTTGTCACATTGTATACATTGTGTCCCTTGGTTTTGCATTCACATTGCAATTCTGTGAGCGGAATAAAGAACTTTACATGACATAGTTACATTCATCTATGTGGGTTGCGTCACCTTATATTTGACATCGATTGGTTCATAAATGGGCGGGGGTGTGACGTCAGTGTGTTGTCAAGTAGGCGGGTAGAAATCCCCTCAGTGTTTACAAACATTACCTCACGAAAATGGACGAAGCAATTCTAATAATCGCCACGCTACTCATACTATTATGGCATTGCTATCAGCTGCAGCACCAACGTAGAGCACAATACTCGCAGCTCGTACAAAAACTAAATATAAATCTACACTTTGTGCGAAGATGTCATCGTTGCCGGCAGGAAAGGAGGAGGACGAGACAGCTAGCAATGTTAGCAATGCTGAGAGCCCTGCCAACTCGGGAGCGACCAGTGTTGAGGTGAGTGACAATAGACAGCTCATTTTTGATGGTGGACTTGACTTCTACATAATAAACACATAGAAACATAGAAATAAACAACCGGCGCACCAGAATTTCCTGTTAATGGTCCGAAAGTCCGTACCATCCAAA